TTTAGTGTTATCYGTCACTGGCACATAATACTCAGAGCCCTATCTGTGTGGAGGTACCCACAACAAGAATACCAAAAAAAAAAAAAAAAAAGGCACACATATACCCAAATAAAAGAATTCATTGACTATGTAGTTTCTTTTCTTGAGGCTTGTAAGATAGTAAGATACAAGGTAGGAAAATAGCAGAAAAAGCTCTTTGGATAACTTTTGTGTAGTATACAATATTGAATGGAGGCAAATGGTTTTAATATATGACTCTTCACAGTTTAAAAAAAGTGATAGCGAAAAAAAAAAAAGAAAAGAAAAAGAAAAAAGAAACAGAATGCCAGAGCAAATAGCTTCTAGATTATGAAGTCTTTGTTTCGTAGTTATATCTGTTGACTTAAATACATTGCAGAAGTCCATGTTATTATTTGAAAGTTATCTTAGTGATAAAAGTTGGTATCTGGGCAACAGGGAGAAATCCTCATGTCTCTTAATCATGCAAGAGGTGGCAAATCCTGAAAATATTCAGAATTTGCCTATGATGTTGCTTGTTCTGCTTTTGGAATTCTCTTAGCCAATTTAGGATCACATCTACTGCCCCATAGCCCTTTAAAGACAGCCTACAGCTAATAAAAAGAAATGCTTTCACTTCAGAGCCCTTCTAAGCCTGGACAAAAGCTCACTTTCTGTTCTTCAGGTTTCCTATATATAGCCTCAAGATGAAGACCTGCTCACTACACACCATCTCCCACCCCCCATTTCCTGCCTGGCTTGTTAAATGCTGATTTGAAGTTGGCACACGTTTTTCTCATTCAAAAGTGGTACTGTGTTCCAGGAGCATCAGAAAGTAGCACATTATTATCTTTTACATTCCCTACATTTGTATGTCCCTTTCCCATGGAGAAATACAGTAGAGAGTATTTCTATCCATTCTTCTTAATTATCTCTGTGTGTTTAATAAGAAGAAACAGTGAAACAAAGCCTTGTCACAAAATCTCAGCTCATTTGGGAGCAGTTTTGCCACAGGCAATATTCTTTAGTGTGAGTAATGCTGCAAATTGTTAATGATTAAGCAAAATGCAGTATATGGCATAATGATTTCACTGTATGATTTTGCTGTCTCTCATRCTTGCTTCTCCATATCATATTACTCAGGAGAGAATAGTTCTCTTTCACCAATGATGATGATTAGGATGAAATAATATGTATGTATGTGCAAGGCTGCATATTTTGCTATTTTTAATAATATGACCACTATTCTCTTCCCTGTTATGTGAAGCAGGGAAGTTGATGATAAAATTCATACAGACATTGTATTTCTTCCTTATCTAGAAACAAGATTACCAGTTTCTTAGAAATAACTGCAGGTCATACCAAAGAGTTAGGTAACTGATCCATTACATGGCTTATGATATTTTCTGTTGTCTTTTAATCTAATAAGATGCTTGATGTACAGAAAGTCAGTCACATGTATTCATTATCTTGTTGAAGCACTGTCTTGGTTTATGGTTGAATCATAGCATAGAATAATAGCCTACATGGGGGCCTTTTTGATTGTCCTTAGTATTAATGTAGTGCAAAAAAGGTTAATTCTTAAGGAGATTTATCTGTTTATTCTGTTCTGCAGTAAAACAGTGATAGAAGTTTAGAACTCAGTAGTTCTTTGGTATTATCTCCCCTTRCGATGCTCCTGTTCTGTACAACAAATCTGTTTGAATGGTTCCTGTAGTCACCCTTGTCGATTGGCTTTAGAGAAACCGAGCAAAGGCATTAATAATGTATAGTAAAAATATCCACAGAAGGAGTTAATGCAAAATAGTTATTTTGAGTGATATCCACTGTATATCATTTCCAAGAACCATTAGCTAAAGTATCAAACCAGATTAATTATAATATTTTTTCACTGCAATTAAGGTTTTTCAAATGCACTTCAGATTTTAGGGGGACAATATAATTTGGACAACATTTCAAGAAATTTATTTTCTATCCTTTTTCATGTATTTCAGCATTCAAATGATTAAAATAATTTGAAAGCAATCACATATATCAGTAATGATCTTTGGAGAGGCGTGTGTATCTATCTGTCCATCCATACATCCACATATAATTTTAATTCACAGCTCTATCCTTGAAGCTTAAATTATTTAATTTTGCCTTATTAACTATTAGAAGAGTGCTGACAGTTAGCAAAGTTATTACTGTCTCCGTGTGGAAGTGTACTGAGGTATATAGAATTGCTTAGGTAATGCATACCAGTTGCAGTCAACAATAATTCTACTTTAACTTCAGTGGGACAGGTTGAAATACCTAGCCATACACCAAGTCAGTGCCTCAACTACTAACTGGTATCCAGAAACCATTTCTCAATTCTACACTTTGCCCTTTGAAGCAGATATCTTCAAATTTGATAGATTTATTTAATACATTGAAATCTGATTTTTTACTTCCAGCCATCAAGCCCTAGCTGGTATCATGTCAGCATCTGGCAGTGTCTTATGGGAGACATTTCAAGAAGGCCAGTATTTGAGGCACACACACACTTACAAACCTTGGCTTTGCCTTTTATCAGGAGTTTTTTATTTTATGTTTTTAAACTCACTCTTCTACAGGCCTTTTCATTTTAAAATTGATTATTTCCATTTTAAAATGATACTTCATCTTTCATGCAACAGCTGTCTTCTCAGCTGGCTCATAAATTCAGACATTAACATCAAAGTGCTTTCTCTGCTTATATGATTGATTGGGTTGCAGAATGTGATGGGAATGTGGTAAAAATAGAAAGGCAATCTCTGCGACTGAGCATGAAACACATTTCATATAGAAGAGCCACTCTCCAGTGAATATTACAGAGGATTTGTATCACATTAGTCTGTCAGGGGCATGGAAATCTCCTAAATTTTAAGCATACGGTGCAAAGTGATTCAGCACGATGGRTGACTATCTTTTCTTCTAAATGTCATCATACTTGGATTATATCTATACTGACCATTGGTCGCAGTGATAGTAGTAACTAATGAAATGGAAATTTCTTGTTAATATCTTTATTATTAAAGATTTCCAGTATTTTATAACCTGTGCGTCTTTCACTGAAATGTGCTCAAGACATAGGACCGCTTGCCAAGAGCCAATATGTGACAAAGGCAAGTGAATGACTGCAGATGGGAAAAGCTTTGAGGTAACAGAATATTTAGCATCACTCTGAGCAGGGGAACAATTCCTTTCCTCTGCCATAAACATTTCTAGTGTCCCTGTTCCTCAGGGAACAAATGGGACAGCAGGAAACAAACGTGTTGATATTACCAACCAGGCAACAATTGTGGTGAGAAAAGTGTTGAATAATTATCTCAAAGCAACCAAAGGTAAAATGTTGAATGGATGGAACATTGAATTTATTTTGTTTTCTGCTAACTCTTGCTCCTTTTGGGAGCTCCTTTATGCATGTGCTTAGGAGAGAGAACTGATCCCAGTTTCCAGTTTTCTCTGTTTTGAAATATCGCACAGCCAAGTCTCAGTTCCAGAAASAGAAATATAAACAAATTCAGTATTCCACAATTATCTTTCACTAGTTCTTAGCAGTGTATCTGATAGCAAGTTTATTTATAAGAGCAGATAACTGGGCACATGAAACATTTTATCATGCTAAAAATACCACAAAATAAAAAGCACAGCAGAGCCTCATCTCTGATGTTCACATGATGAAAAGACTGTGTCCATTTAGGAAAGAGAGGTGGAACTTGCCCAAGGTGCATTAAATATAATCCTAGGTTTTCTGGGAATCAATCCTACTTCTTCCTTTTCAGAGCATATATTTTTCTGCGTAAATGTTCTTTGGACACTGTAATAAATCTAGTTGTTTGGTATGTTATTCAGAAAACATTGAAGTTCTGGGCCTAAAATTGCTGACCAAAAAATGTTCTGCCAGCAGATCTTGTCATAATTTATATTTCTAAGAGAAATCAAAAGGCACCAATGGAGACTTCTTTCTATTTCTGGCATCAGACCATAATCCGATTATAACGTTGCGTTCCAAAAGTTTAACATCAAAGTTTTCACCTAGAGGAGATATAAAATGATGCAGAACAAAGCTTTAATTAACCTCTAATTATTATTAATGAGGAAATGAACTGCTAATAGCCATAGTACCTACTATTGCATTCTAAGAAAAGACACTGTACTGATACTTGGTCAGTGAAATGGAATGAGAAGAAAAATGGATAAATGGCTATTTCTTTAGAGTGCAAAAGAGGTTAATTCAACGACTTATTAATGAAATGCTTTTTTACCTTTTTCATCAGAAAAACTGAAAATTTTTGATTTACTGTCAGCTCCTTGAACTGAAAAGGAATATGTGAAGAATGATAAATGTTGAGAGATAGATAAAAGAACAAACCAACACAAGCTTAGTAGACATGCAGGCCTTAGTGACTCTTAGTGAGCTTTGTGCTGTTGATTTTCTCAAATATTTTTTTACATATTAAGAAGATTTTTTAGATATTAAGAAGATTTTTTAGATGTTATGTGCTCTTCATACCTTAGCTTCACATACTTAAATCCATGTAATATTATAAAGCAGAATAAGAATCCCAGATTGTTAGATACCTGAGAAAAAATGTTTTTCTTTGAAGTCAATGAATTACAGTACAAAATAGAATGTCCTGTCTCACAGATTTAACTCGGATTGGGAATAGAGACATTGTGACAATACAAGTTCATTATGAACCTGTTTTTTGAAGGGGAAGGAGAATCAGGAAAGGATGAAATGGGGGTAAGGTCAAAAGTAAAAATAGTACAAAACTCAGAAGCTGTCCAGCTCCTTTCTTTCTCAACTGTTCCTCAGTCTAGAATGGAAATGTATTAAGGACAGCAGGAAAACTGGAAAGGACAGGTAGGAAAAATTCCGCCTTTGAGCTCTCTGTGGATCTCAGTAAGTCCTATAAGGAGGATCCTATCGGCCAGTGGTGTCTGGGTGAAGCAATACTTTTTGATTTGTAATCATTTGTTTTCTTTGTTTCCAGCTTCAGAGCCGAATTTGAAGGTACGTTCAAGATTAAAACAAAAAGTGACAGAAAGGAGAAGCAGTCCTTTACTCAGAAGAAAGGATGGAAATGTTGTCAGTTCATTCAAGAAGAGACTCTTTGAAGTGACAGGTAATTAAAACTGGAAAAAAAAAGTCCATCTCGATTGCAACTGCTACCTGAAATGCATGGAACAACTCCCGAAATGGTATATTGGCATCAAAATTGTTTCTTAACCTTGCTGTTAGCCATTATTCTGCTGCTACTGGAAAGGGAACTGGATTAAATAAATGATGAAATATAAATGTGTAGCTTTTTACAACTTATTAAAAAAAACATTGTTTGAAAATCATGTCCTTAAACCAGTTTGGAAACAATCATTTTACAACAGAAGGTACAGGAACAAATTAATGGTAACCTATCAGCAAAGGACATTGAAGGAGAAAGAGAACAGTTTCATCCTCTAATTTGTTTATTGTGTAAATTGCAAAGATTTGGAGTCTTGCATCTCTCACTTTTTCTCTAGAGTGGAGAATGCAAATGCAAAAAGCAGGTGCAAAAATGCCTATGTGATAGTCCTTTGGTTAATCCAGAATCTTTTTGAGATTGTATAATTTGATCCTGTCATTCTGGGGTTCTTTGTTTGTTTGTTTGTTGGTGTCTTTTTTAAAAAATGAAGCCATCAGATAGTGTTGTTAGTAATTAAATTCAAATTTTTAGCATGCAAAAATAGGCTCTCTATATATGGGAGATTAAAAAGGAAAACTTTTTTTATGAGGTAGTATATTTTTTCAGTATTTTTTTGCCCTTGCACTAGAAAAAAGTGTTAGTGCAATTAACAGTAGATACCAAGGCGTTCTGTTACTTGTTGGTATCAATGTATAGAGTGGTGACTCATATCACATAGATTATTTTGCAGAATTACACACTTCACCACAGCTACCAACCATCCTGAAGTCACCTTGTTTTAGTGCCTAGAAATAGAAAGCTGACAAGGCTGTATCCATTTATTTGAAATAAAAGAGCATTTACAGTATTTGGCCTGATTCTGATAAAGCATGGTATGAATTTACACCAGAATTCGGTAGTTTCATGCTTCAAGTGCTATTGCAGTCAGGTCATATGTGTATTCCACTAGCAGAAACTAGTCTGTCAGAGGTATATCTGGATTCACTTGGAGTTAGGCCACAGCAAGGTGGAGATACAGCACAACGTAAGCAAATTCACTTTGGTGTCCTCATAGATGCARTTCTCACAACAGGCTTTCATGGTATGTCAGATGTAAAACTGAGACAAAGGTATGATTGTAACCATCAAAGTAACTAAATAAGATATTTTCTCTATAAATTATTTCCAGATTAGGGCTTTTTACAATTAATTTATTTAAATTCTCTGAAACTCTTCTGAGCTTCTTGATCTCCTCCTTTAATTGTGACAGATTTTTTGTATTCTATAGACCTGCAAGTAAGATATGAAATATTTATCTCAGGAGCTTTTTTCTGCAATCTTGCTAGAGCAGAAACCTCAAAGTAAAGGACACGAGTGTTTTACTCATGGTTGTGTCAATAATACTGAGCCTTGCTGCCTGCCATTATTATTATTATGATCTGTTATATGACATTTTATAGTTTTTATAATCAAGGCTTAGCAAACATTTAATCAATTATTTTATTTTGTTGAAACATAACTGTCTAAATTGTTTTTTCTTCTTTTTTTCCTTTTAACAGAAAATAGCACTTAAGTAAATGCATGCTTATCTAAGAACTGCTATTACAATTCCTCAAAATCTGAGAAAAAGATGCGTAACTTGTATTTCTATTCTTCTGGTGAAATCAGTGAGAAGTCAGTGCAGGAAATTTCCCTGACCAGTTAGTATATTTGGATACTGATTCATGTCAGTAAATTGAAGCCAGCTCTGGCAGGAAACGGCAGCAGGTCCAAGAAACTGCTAGGAAATCTCATGCTAATTTCAGTGGAAGTGAGGACTTTATTAAATTTATCCACATACAGAATTTTCATTTAAGTAAGTATAGGATTAAAACAGTTTAGCACATGAGCACACAGTTAGCTCATACTCCTTTCCTTTACCTTAGACAAAATCTGGGCATTTTTAATCAAGATAATTCACAATCTTTAAAATTTTGGTATTTGTAACAAAGATGTAGTGAAAGTCGTGTGTGTCTTATCCTTATTACTTGCACAAGGTACTTTGCACATAAAGGTTAGTTTACAGCAGACTAGTCCAGCCCCTTTCCAAACAGTAAGGGAAGGCTGGAGGCCTCATGAATTGATGGCATGTTATCATGACCTTTGCAAGYGGGCTATCTCTGTCATTTTGATCTCTTACAGAAGCAGGGCACTATGTGATTAGAAAGAAAAGATTTTCTTCTCTATCGATTTTATGTTCAAAGCTGTATCTCTGCCTGCTACTGCCTATCACACAATCTGTGTGGGAGATAAAAAAAAAAAAAAAAATCACTCTTTGTGAAGGGAAAAGAACAGGGTATCATTCTTTGTAATTATTGTTAAGGAAAGGAAATGAAAGGAAAGGAAAGGAAACACTATTATTTTTTTTTTAATAGTTAATTCCTACYTGGTAAGTACTCCTTGGAGGCACAAAAGAAAGAAATAAAACTATGCCAAAGTACTGTACAGATAGTTCACTGAGACTGTGCATTGCCTTTCTATGTGAACTGTGAATTCATGTGTCTGTAATTTGTTTTCCAGAATCCTCAGTCAGCAGCAGCTCTCCCGGATCAGGTCCCAGTTCCCCAAGCAATGGTCCGACTGGTAATATCACAGAAAATGAAACCTCGGGTTTGCCAGCTGCCATTCCTGCTGAGGTAAGACACAGAGTACACACGTCCTCTTCATTGACCAGAGAACTGCTTGGACTGCCACAACTGAAGAGACCCCAAACTTCAATTTGATGGCATTTACAAGTACCACARGTACTCAGTTATAGCAGTTAGGATTATCAGGGCACCAGGACACTGTAGACTGGTAGCAGAGAATCTTTAGAAAGGAGGCCAGCATATGGAGACTCTGCTTGTTACTCAAAGTTAAAACAAAAATGGCAATGATGCTATTGAGACAGTGGGAGGTTGTTACGAATGGAGTTTGGAAGTACTTCTGTTGCAGAATATGAGGAAAGAATTTGGGGGTAAGATCATGAAGGATGATTGAGGCAAGGAAAATTGAATGTTAAATGAACAGTCACAGCAATATTTGGTGTCTTAGGACAGATTATTTTGCTGTCATCTGGCTGAAGAAGTGCACAATGTAGAACTCTAGTGAAGGAGCTTCACGTGAGAAAGTGTGACTTAGGCATTGGTGAATCAAGCTCAGATAGGTTAACATATTTCCACACTGAGATGCCTGCTGAAGTAGTTTTGTTTAATTCCAATATTGGAGTTAGGTGACTAAGTCATTTTTCACGTCTGTTTTTAATGTTACTATATCTCAGTTTTCTTATCTGTACATTACTTAGCCACATAACTGAAATGCCCAGAGTCTTTGATAATTTTTTCAAAAAGCTACATCCTTAGRTCTAAGGATGGATTCAAGAACAGAGGGAACTGCAACTACTTAATATTCTGTTTTGTTCATATATGCTTATAATATTAGACATGTAGGTACTAAAGCATTTGTAAGAAAATGCATTTACAACGAATGTTCCTAAGTCAGGCTTATCTGTGGCAATGTTGTAAAGAGACAATAAGTATATTCTAAGAGAAAATGAAATTCAAAACTATTCTGTATCCATGCTTACAGGCATTATTGCTTTGGTGGCAAAATTTTCTATTAATTGTTGCTTTATAATGTTTATGTTAGAAAAATTGCAGAAGGAAATGTGATTTAACAGAGTTTTAGCTAATGGAGCTATTTCTCCAGGTCAGTGGCAGGACATTCACCTCAAAAAAACCTGGAATGGGCAGTTCAACCTCCAGCAGTGACTTTTCCCCATAATGAATTAATTGTGTGTGTGAACTATGATCCAGGGGGCAGGTGGGTGACCTCTGCACACTGATTAGTAGCCTCTCTCTGGCCCGTAACCAAAAAGGAAAAAAAAAAATTGCATTGATGGCTAACATGTGGTCTTGCCTCATAGCCCCTCTCTATGTGATTGCAAGGAAATTTAAATGATGCAGAGCAAGATACAACATTCGGATCAGATCAAATGCTAGCTTTGTGAGATTAAATAGTATACTTTAAAACTCTGAGTGTTTTAGGTAGAAGTAGAAGGTTGTGATATATAGATGTTAGATATAGATATTAATGGTGTATTAAACAGGAAATCATATCCAATTGGATCATGAATTAACTTGAGGAGATCAGAGTTACTATGACAAGATGGTACGAGAATAATTTCTCAAAGCAGTTTTCAGTGCTTGCAACTTTGCATATTTTAGTTTCTGAACACTTGCCCACAGCGTTAAACAACAGTCAGAAACACGTACAATCTGGTCAGACTGAAAATCCCCATTTGGGCACATCTGAAGGGYTGTAGCTAGAATACCATGAGTATTATATGTTTTGGCTATTAGGACCCTGCATTGCTTATCATTTGCCATTACTGTACCAAGCAGCAGGCTTTTTGGCCACATACGACAAATGCTCCAATAAGCCTAAAAAGTTCCATTAGAAGTTGAGCTCCGTGTACTGGAGTCAGTCACTTAGCTGCCTGGAAGTGTTCTAAGAAACTGAAACCACGGGCTTCCATTTCTGGATCCAGTCAGGGATTTCTTTACCTCTCTGATTACTTGATTGTTAGTGTTGTGGTGCTGCGGGCTCAAACATTTTTCCATAAATCTCAACGTCAGTACATTTTAATTTCAATGGGTTTTTATTTGATAGTTTAACAGTAACCAAGCTATTACAAATCTCATCCTTAACTCAACATTTGCTGCCCGCTCTCAGAGGTTATATATCTAATCAATTTTTCATCAGACACGCAAAGTACAGAAGTTTCTAATAATAGGAAAAGTGCTCTAAAATCACCCAGAATATCACTTGTTTTGCAGTAATTCCTTATGACTCACATTGCTGTTGTTTCATAATTGTTGTTGTGACATTTGCAGTAAGTGTTGTGCTCATATCTGAGTGGGTGGATAGCCGTTTTCATGGCAGCAAATAAAACACTTTTTGCTGGGGGAAAACAGGTTGCTATGACAGAGAACCATTTAGCAGTAAAAACATGAGTCAATACTGTAAATGATCACACTCTAGTGCATAGACAGAATTAGGGCATTATCAGTAATGAAACGGATTTTTAAAGTATTTTGCCATATCCATTTGAATAGCTAGACTTTAAAGTGGTTTACTCAGCAGAGCAGACAGTCTGGTGTGCTGACATTTACATTGTTTTAAATGATGGCGCATTACAAATGCTGCATTTTTGCAGATAATACTTTACTGTCATAGTTTCCTTACTATTACTTTAGAACACTGGTCTCATTATATGAAACTTGAAAGTTAAATGCAAGTTTTTAATTGCACCTTATAAATAAAACAGTTTTTATTAGGCCCGGTTGTCTCCAGCAGCATCAAGGTTCACCGCTGCAGCTATTTGTCTCGGGTAGTGTGCCATGCACTTTCAGGTCACCTGCTGTGCAGGGGCTAAATCTTTCCTGCATGAGAAATGCAAGCAGGTTTGAGCCCCTGCACAGCGTGTCCCTTGAGTTCAGAGGACACCCTGCCTAGGTCATGCAAAATGATTAATGCTAGATGTACACAGCCTGGTCTAAAGCCATTGAAAGCAAAGGAGAGTTTCCATCTGGTGTGAGTGGGCTTCAGGTCATGTTCTTCCTCTTTCACTTGCACTATGGAGAGCAGCATTTCCTAGAATATTGCCTGATGATTATGCAGGAGGCATGAATGACACACAAGGCAGATAGACACATGCTTGCTTTATGTTACCCTACATTTCTAATACTCCGTGAGGTGCTCTTTGCGAAGGGATAGTAGCAATGTTCAAAAATTCTGCCTYATTTTTTAACTCTAGACACAAAAGAAAAACCTTTAAGAAATGACTTAATGAAATGAGAATATTCAAAGCTGTGACACCCTTACTATTACTCCACATTTTTGAAGTATTAGAGGCAAACCACTTCTTCTTCCTCACTTTATGTGTAACATGGATGTGTGAAATATTTGTTCCCACTTCTCAGACGGCCCAGGTAGCAAAACAGATGTATAATAACTAAATATAGCAGTGCATCACCGCTGCTGTATTTCTATCTTAAGAAAGTAAATAACTGTACTGCCAGGATATTTTAAGCAACAGAAATCAGGATCCTTGAACCTAGGGAGTAAGTATTTGGAGGGCAGTTTTCTCTATTTGCCAATCTAGATCATCAGCTGTTCATGGAGAAGGACCATGGCACAGCCATTGGGCTGCCRGTGACACTACTGACATCGTAAATCTGTGCCACTGTCTCAGGGTTTTATCAGTAGTGTAAAAGTAAAGCTGCAGCTGGTGACATGGAGTTGTACATCAATATACTTTGGACACTAATGCATGCAGGTAGACTCCTAAACTCTTTCAGAGACAGGATTAKATCTGGCATTTGTGTAAATACTGATTTTTAAAATCATTTATTTACTAAAACAAAAATGACCAATTAAGATGTACATACTCTAATTAATAAGTCCCTATTTTTAACACTAAGCTTTCATGCTACATAACAATTGATTTGGCTTCTTGTAGCAATCATGCTTGGCCTTAATGTTGTGGAAATGAGTTCTTCTGCTTCTCCACATCCTAAAGCTGGCTCACTTGCTGATTCACATCTTGGAAGGTAACAGTGGCATATTAAAAAACAAAAAGGAACCTTGAATTTTTGGAGTAGCTCTGTGTAGATACAGCAGTCAGTACCAATGTGATGATATTCTAGAAGATGCATTGCAGCTGCCACAGCATCCTTTTTCAGTTAAATTTCTGTAGTCTCTCTCACTAATATCTCCATAGTCTGGACATGTTTGGTTTAATAATCGCTGAAGAGGGATGTTATCAAGGGAAAGCACTGTTAGCCAGGAATTAATGTAATATACGAGTGAAGCTTCTTTGTTTCGTATCCTGTGTGTTGACATTCCCTAGGTACCAAGAGAAAATTACAGAGATAGACTTCTACTGTTATTGTCTCAGTGTTAGGTCGTATCTCCAAACAAACTGTATGAGGAAGGTTATGTTTTGGAATAACATCCTGTGTTTTTGTGCTTAACCACTTTTCGTTGATGGTCTGAAGTTGCATTGTATTAGCCCAAAGTATTTTACAGAGTTAATTGATATTCCAGGTTTGTCCAGGGGAAAATCTACAGCTCCCCACAACATGCTTGACAAGTTATTATATTTACTTTAGTCAAAGCCCGAGTGTGCAGTATCCCTCTTGGAGGTGGTCTATTATTGGAGTCCCATATGCTTTTTGTTTGGGAAGAAAGCAGTCACTGTGTCATACTGTTACACAGGGTATTCTTTTTCAAGGATGTTGGTCCCTTGGGGACCATATCATGCCAGAGTTCCTAAGTCTAATAAGACCTTTGTAGCTCTTATTGTGTTAAAGTTCTTGGGGGGAAGCAAGAGTTAAACAGAAAGTGTAATTCAAGCAACTATACTAGACCACATGTTGAAAAACATGACTGTTAAAGCAGAGAGGCAAAGGCTTCAAAAAGATTCCTGTTGTGGTAATGTAACTTTTTATGTTTCTTCCCAGTGAAACTAAATTGGGAAGGCAATGGGTGATCTTTGTTAACGTCAGTTTTTGCTTGACAGTGATTTAAAATATATTGGAAACTCCATGTCCTTGAAAATCCTCCTAAGGATTTCTAACAAGTGTTAAAGATTTTTTTGTTGAACTGCATTTGGAAAGCTGTGTAGGAGTATCCCACCATCAGAGAATCATGGGATGCTATTTCTATATATACATATTTAGAGAGAGGACAAAGTATATTTGTTTTAAATGGAAGGTGTGACAATTCTACCTTAGCTGGTCCCCTAAATTCCCACATATGTAGACCTAAATAATGTGACTGAAACTCCCCCATATCACAATCAGAATYAGAAAATATGTAGTCTCTTTGTGAGGTGATTTTCACACTATTATAATAAAAATTTTAATAGCYCTGGTATTAAATATCTAGTACATTCTCATTCGGTGACATTTTTGATTTGTCTATGTATATATCTTTATATACCTTAGGGGATGAATCTCCAATGCTCCAAAAGGCAAACTGTGCTTTACAGTGCATTACAGATAAATACCTTACAGTCCTTAAAAGAATGTCTAAATTCCTACTGAACTTTCAGTAGGGAAAGAGTGGGTGATGAGAGAAATGGTCTAGGCATCCACAAGATTTTGGTTTTGCATAGAAATTTGACTTACTAACTAAATCATAATACCAAACAAATACCAGTTGTTTTCTTAAGACAAGAAATATTAATAACTGTTTCAGAGGGACAGTGCTTTTTCTTATCTGGAACCCCAATGGGACACAAACCAATGTATGATGCATAACAGGCTTTCAACGTAGCAGCATAACCAGGATAAAGTAACCAAAATTAAAAGCTTGGAGATTATACAACTATTKTTTTCCCCCTTTATTCCAGCATCTGGTTTCACAGCAACGTCTTTTGATACAAGAAGAATCGGTGAACTTGTTGAGTCTGTATACATCACCTTCTCTGCCCAACATTACCTTGGGACTTCCAGCAGTACAATCCCACATCAGTGTAAGTAGCAAGTTTAAAGCATTCCTGTCTTCCAGGAAGCCTGTTTTCTGCCTATTTTCTCTCTCTCTCTTTCCCCCCCCCCCCCTTCAGCTTCTGGGAATGTAAGCCATTCCAAACTTGAAACAATAATCCTTCTTAATAACAAATAAACAAATACCAGCACGGAGCTTAGCTAAGTACAGACCAGGTGCATTGTATTTATATCTGCAGATCAGATACCTGATTTCAGACATGGTCAAGTAGAGCATACGAGGAGATGATATAATTTGAAATTTTATAGAAAATGATTTTGAGTAAATGATCAGTTGTACCTGGTCAAATGCAAAACTTGTGRCTATTTTTACAATGAAGTTCCAGCAGTGACTTAGGCTGGTATGGAGCATACTGGAGTAAGTATCAGCTATTCCCAGATTCCTGGGCATGGATAAGTATCTTTAAATCTAGACAAAGTCACAGTAACGCAGACGCAAAATCTGGGGCCCTGTGAAACAACTGTAGATGTTGCACTAGTCAAAATTCTGCCCTTTCCAAAAAAGAGAGATAAAAATATCAGTATAAAGTATATGATGGGTCTGCACACTAATGTGTGATTTGTGAAGAAATTTTAGCAGTCTAGATTTCATAGAATACGAATAACCTCTATAATAACTTCTATAAATATTTCGGCTGTGTAAATAAAACCTTCTACTGTACAAAAAAAAAAAAAAAAAAAAAAAAGAGCTTACTACAGTTTGTAATAAGTTCTACTTAATTCCAGTGCTAAATATAGTTCAAATTTCATGTCATTTTATGGCTTTTTTAGTACATGCAATGTTTTCACCAATAATACATTGCTGCAGTCCAGACTTTTAAAATCAGATAGTGACCTTTATGAGGAAAATTGTGTAAACTCTAAATCAGTTCACTAGAAGCCTTTCATGATATTTATAAGCAAATTATTGTTTTTAAGGGATGGGAAAGCTGAACTGATTATGAAAAGTAATGCTTGCTTTTCCAAACCATATCATCAAAACTTTCCTAGCTGATTCAAAAAACATATGACTAGGTTCAAAGAAATTTTATAACATAAACAAAATAAATGAAAATATCTTTAATTTTCTCACTCAAATCGTAAGAGCTTTTGATGTGGTCAGCTAGCACCAGATATTACATTTGGCATTTGAAAAAACAAAGGGATTGATTTATGTAACTAATGTTTATTTCTGTTGCTAAAATAAGTAGCTGTAAATTGTAAAGCTTACTTTGGCATTTGTTTTTCAGGGAAGGGTGATGGCAGAGTGTGAAGTAAGCATATGCCCCAAAATGTGAATTAGAAAGCCTAGTTTGCTCCATCAGAATATGTGGAAYGCAGACTTTTTTTTTTTTTTTTTTTTTTCCATGCCATTCCATTGCTGGTAACCTGCACGTCTCAACATATTTTTATGTTAGATCAAAGCTGTACAAAATTATGCCTCCAATCAATAACGAAGCCATTTATAAGGACTCTTTAAAGTGCCACACACAGTTCTTGATGATTCAGTAGACCAGAATTTAACTATAAAAAATTTACTTTGCAAAGGGGATAACTTGCGTCTGTACKGTCCTCCAGGGAGTCAGGGAATGCTCCAGGAAAAGTAATAGCTTACCATAAATACAGGTAGTTGTTTTGTTTTACTGATTAACTTGCAGTCTGATGGAAAATTATGTTAAAAAAAAAAAAAAAACCTGCATAATCCAACCTCAATATGAACTATTTCCTCTGATCCTTTCTTTTCCTGCACAGGAGATTGTGGAAAGATCTTTTAGGATTTTAAGATAGGTCTCAGTCTTATCATTTCATTAATAATGTTCTGATCAGTAGTTTCTTCTGCTTTGCCTTTTATTACTGATTTTTTTTTTGAAYGATTTCATTACTCAATTTCTCATAGTGTTAAATTAAATTGGAATGTTCCTCCTCCCTTTTTGTCTCCCAGGCAAAGCATAAGGCAGAGATTTTAACATTTTTATATATATACATATATATATGTGTGTGTGTGTGTTTGAAAGTATGGCATCAGACCATTTCTGGGGAGTTATAAAAGGCTAGATCTATAGGAAGCATTTACCAGTGCCACTGTTTTTCTGACAGGCTTCATCATCATTCAAAGAAAAGCCGAAGGGAGAGACCCAGGCTCTCAGACAAGGAGTGACCTTGGCTGGACAGTACGGAGGGAACATTGCTCCAGCCTCAACTCATCCTCATGTTGCTTTGGAGGGAAAGCCAAACAGCAGCCACCAAGCTCTCTTGCAACATCTGTTACTGAAAGAACAAATGAGACAGCAGAAGCTTCTTGTTACTGGTAATGATCATGGCTTCAATACAGTATTAATTTTAAGTGTTATAATGACATTTTATTTATATTAAATTGAACATGGTAATCCAGATTCTATGGAACTTGACCAGAACTTGACTTCTTGCTGGAAGAAGCAGAAGGGTGGGAGAAAGAAGTGTGGTGTCTTTGTTTTGCTTACGGACTTTAGTATTTTCTGCTACACTCTGTTAGCATGAAAGAATTCAATGGTTACGGAGAAGAGAAAACATTTGCTTCATCACATTCATTTTCAGCTCTTGAACACTTGAGCCCAGTATGGCTAGGCATGTCCACTATGGCAATGCATGGTCCACTGCATCAGTGCTGATGCAGACTTCTGTAGTGTGGCCCACTGCTTCTTACTGAGAGATTTCTCTGGCATTAGATCTATTAGGTTATTGCTCTTCACGCTGGAGTGAAATGTCACTGTTTTGCAGGGGCAGTTCCTCTTCATCCTCAGTCTCCTTTAGCGGCAAAGGAAAGAGTCTCACCTGGCATCAGAGGTGCCCACAAACTGCCTCGTCACAGGCCACTGAATCGAACCCAGTCAGCTCCTCTTCCTCAGAGCACTTTGGCCCAGCTGGTTATCCAGCAGCAGCATCAACAGTTTCTGGAGAAGCAGAAACAGTACCAGCAACAGATCCACCTGAATAAGGTGAGTTGCAAAGTAAGGACGTTCCTCTAAATTTGAAGGCTTAATTTAAATTTAAAGACTTTAAAGACTAAATGTAAATGTAAATTTAAATTTAAAGGTTGTGGCAAAGCAAGACTACTGGTGCCATGAGGTAACTCACAATGGGCAGGTTATTGTGTCTCATTTATGCATATTTTATGAGCCTTTGTATTCATATTCATTTTCAGCTATCTGAAAAATAAAATAAATGTGTGGTTGTTGACATCCATGAAAATATAAATGAGTCAAATAGGGATCAAATAGTATCATAGCTTTAAATTGTAGTTTCCTGTTGAAAAGTGATTGATGCCATAAAGATTGCTGAATTGCTATTCGACTTTTTTATTTGCCATTTCCAGTTCAGAAAGCATTCCATCCATATGACTTCAAGTCATATGTTAAGTGTACTCATTACATAATAGTCTGTGGAGTATGTATGTAAGTAATTGGAAGCCAATCAGCTGATTGAATTTTTCCTTTTTCATTGATCAGTTGAAAAAAATGATAAACTATATGATAAAAATTATTAAAATAATTATTTCTCTTTAAGTTTTTTAACAACATTAATGTTCATTAACTACATGGCAATATAAAACTAAGTAACAAAAAAGAAAGAGAAGAAAGAGAAAGAGAAGCAATGCGCTATTTCTATCATCAGATGGAATTGAATTTGACCTCTCTTTCCATGTGGAGTAATACCTTATTCTGGCGGAAAGAAAAACAAAAGGACTATCCACTAATAAATAATAGCAATACCTATACATATATATATATGTGTGTGTGTGTGTATGTATATAATATATATAAAAGTAGCCAGTGCTTCTAGAAGAAATGCGATGCTGTTCCCTGCTCTGAAATGTAGATATGCAAGTAATCARATGCTTTTATCTAAAGAGCTTTCTTCTGCACTTACTAAAACCTTCCAGAACTTGTTTGCCAGAGATTCTAGAACATTTCAAGGATATATTAATCTGTATTTGGATTGGTTCATAATGATATATTAGAGTCAATGACAAAGAATAAAAAGCTGAAAAGTGGCCGTTTAGCCCCAGTACTGATAAGAAAATGAAAAAAAAAAAAAAAATACCAGTCCACCTTACTGGGTGAACTTCCCGTGGGGTTCTGATTCTTTGGAATCTACCAGGAATTCCCAACAAAATTAGAAACAAACCTAGAGTTTAAGTACATAGTTTGTACAGTGGTTTGGTTATTAAATCTTGTCTTAATTAGGAAAAATGAAGTCCAGAAAACTTCAAAGTTCAGGACTGATCCTCGCATGTTAACCCCTCTCAGCTTGGGTGTTTTGATTACTCAACTAGGACTCCAGTTGGCTTTTCTTTGAGTATGCATTCCATATGTTTAATCAAGATGGCATATGCTCATCTTGTAGCCTCAGGTTTTGAAAACATTTCACCTGCCCTCAACTGTCTGAAGAGAAAATAATTTTTAGTAGTGAGGTATTGAGTCCTTGTGCTCTTTTGCAGGATTCACTGCAAAGTGTTTGGTTTTGGATCAAGCATTCCTCATAAGGGAATGAACCAAATTTACATGTTTTTGTTAGATCATATGCTGATTAACTTAAATTTTACCATAACATTCAGGGGTATCCGATGTGACAGATAGGTACATTTGTCCTGAACACTAAAATTAAACTTGAGTCAAATAAATCAAATATGAATCATACAAAGAGATTAGGTAGCTTCATTTCAGTTTAACTAGGAATATATTGAACCTCCCAAGAGCTAGACTGGATAAGAAACTAAAAAGACTGCCATTAGCCTGGAAAACAAGAGGTGTTTTAGACCAGGGAGCAAAATAACCCCCTATCTTCTCACTTCTTAGGAAAAATCTGTGCTTGCATGGACAGAGATGTTTACATTTCTTATTTTCCATTGTTCTGCCTTTTGCTCTTCTGAAGATGATGAAGACTGMAAAAAAAAAGTATAATTCCATCCTTTTTGGTCATGAGAAGAATGCTTTATTTAGTAAAAAGTACTCAAACATTCTCTTAAAAGTTTTTACTTTTAACAAGAACAATTTTAAGCTGACAAGACCAGTTGATCAAGAGCATAGAACAAGTCAGCATTTTCAGTTTCTCATCTTTCTTGTTCTGTTTTTGTTTGTTTTTGGTTTTTTATTTCTTGATATTTAGGACTTAAGCATTTAAGACMTCAGTATATTTCACCATGGACTAAGATTATATGGCATATGTCAGAACACACTGAAATGTCTTTTTGSTTACATCTTTTTCTGGAAGATCTGGAAGATTCTGGAAATGTGGGTTAAATTTTCCTGTGACAAGAGAAGGAGAGAGAGAGTAACAGTTTTTCCTCAATTTCTCAGCCTTATATATGTATCTTATATTTAAGCAATTATTTGGTAAAAGACTATACTTCAGGAGCAAGCCAGAGCTGCCGTAAGGGTGGAAACAAGCAAAAATCTAACAGATCAGAGGTGAAGAATTGAGCATTTGGATGAATCATTTTCATTCTGAAAATATACCAGTGCCAAGAAGTGTGTGTCTGTCCTTTCCAACAAAGAGAAGTTCCCCTATGGATTATTTCTGATCAGCTGTCAGATGCTGGGTTTTTGATGTGGGAAACTGTAAACACCTCTGCTGAGGTCTGGCATTTATGCTTAGTAGACTGACCTTCTGAAAATATTCTAGCTTGAATGCAAATGTTGACATCTCATCCAGAGGTAGGTAGAAAGCCTTGTCCCAGCTTTCTGGGGGAAAAATAACAACGAGCGAGCGGTAACTGAACTCCACTTGTCTTTAGGAAGATCGGCTTTGCTGTTGTCAGCTCTAATACACTTCTGTTCAAATGACAGCTTATTTCTCAATAAGGCCCTTTGATCACTATAGTTGGACTTCCTTCTGCTCAATAACGAGACTGAAACCCCCAGTTAAAATCATTGCAATCAGGTCCTCAAAAGACTATGGCTACCATAAATAAAAAGTAAGATCTTGATGTTATGGATGTATCTCTGCATCTGAAAAACATAGACTCTGCCACTTACAAAGGAAACAAAGAAAAAAAAAAAAGATTTTTGATATCACTAATGGAAGTGCAAAGCCACTGGCCAGAGTCTCTGTTCAAGAAAATCTTACAATTAATAATGTGAGCAATGAATGAGTGGAGACCTCTGCCTTTAAAGGTTACTTTTATCTATGCGTATGATGAGTAAAATCCTGTCTCTACTGAAGCAAATGACAAGCTAGCACTGGCTTCACTGGGACCACAGTTTCATTTAGTCAGTTATGAGAACACTACATGTGTTCTTACAATAAATATTTATAAGGCTTTAGGTGTTTGCAAATATTTTTCCATGGTAAAATCTCTTTTTTTTTTTTTTGTATTGGAGTAAAAAGAGTTAAAATAATGAGGCAGTTTGCAATGTGTATGAAAATACAGCTTTGGAGACTTATAAAGAGTACCTGAATTTCAGTTTTATTCAAGTTTAGAGTATCTTTTTATAGGAAAGGTGTAATTGAGTAAGGCTGTGAGGTGAAAAAATAAACGACAAAAATGTATAGAGAATTCATTTCTGCTTTGCATGCTAATGCTGATTGTCCAGTATTTATTAATTAAAAAGAAGAGATGTTTCTAGTGATTTATTGATGAGAAAAGCAAAACAAAAATGAAACAAAACAAAACAAAAACAAAACAGGAAGATATTTATTGTCAATAGGAATATTGAAACAGAAGCAATTAATGCCAGATAAATCATATACTGCTCTGATTGCTTTCTATTGTAATATCAAAGACTGTATCCAGGCTTCACTTGGAGTAAACGGCCATCATTTCATTAAAGGTGTCACAAGGGAAGCTGCAGCTTTCCAGCTAAATCTTTCTGACTAGAATCTTCTGAAGGTGAGAGGTAGTAAGATGGATATTTCTTCTTTCAAATATTTCAAATAGTGTTTTTATTTGGAGGGAAAGGAGAGGTTTCTACTATACCAATAGCAAAAATAGTTTGGAATCTGAAAAAAGAAAAGCCAATGCATTTTCTTCTTTATTGAGAACTAACATGTAAACTACATGAAAAAAAATGGAAGATAAATAAACCCCTGAGAACTGTTGTAGTGTATGGGTAACTGAGAAACAGTGAGCAGGTATCACGATGATTCAGTCCAGCTAACACTATATAGGGCTAGTAAAATCAAACTAGTAGCTGTAGGAAAGAAGGAGAAAAAGTGTTTTCTGTAAACAAGTTCTTCGAAACAACAGCTGTGTATTTAAAATCAACAGTCTTTAAAGGAAAGAAATATGTTGTAGCTGTTGCAGGAATATTCTCTGTCCTTTGTCTCTCTGTAAAGAAAATACATGTTTAGAAATTACATGTTTTACAAGAGCTTGTCATTACAGTGGGGACACAAAAACAATGGTTGCACCTGAAAAAAAATTATAAAATGGTTTGTTGCAGTGTCTAGATTATTTATACCCAATCCATTTTTCTGTACAGCCAAGCAGGTTAGATTGTCTTTGATGTCTTTTTTTGGTGAGACTCTTACAGCTCTACAATAGAGCTGACTTCCGTAAATGCTTCCTCTCCTGCTGCCACTGTTTACTTTGGCACATCCCTTACAGTTTAATTTCCTGAAAATGAAAGGAGAAAAAATAAAGGCTACATTAGCATGAAGTTATTTTTTGGGTGACTCCTTTATTTGGAATAGCCATAAAAGTAATATGTGATGTGCTGGCTTGAGAAGTTCAATCTGTACAGTTCTATATGAATTCATTAGATAAAACACTTTTATTATTATTAATTTAAAATGTACAATGAATAAATCTCACATTAAGCAAACACCTTCTCATAGTCAAAACTGTGTATTAAAACCAGAAGAAAGACCTCTATTTAAATTTCAACTTACCAGAAATATCTATTTTTGGAGGGATCTATCTTAGTTAAAGTGAAGGATTTAAATATTTAGCTTAAGCAGAAGCATCTAACTGCACCGTAAAAGGACTTGAGCAGTGTTTGATGTGTACTGCTCATATGGAGAAATGGGACAATGTGTCTTAGCAGTCTGGCCATCCAGGGTGATTTTAGTGGTTTTGGCTTCTCCCTTGCCCTCAGCCTCTTTTTTTCGTGTTTGTCATATGAGAGGAAATGACTGTACTTCCTCATAGCCCCTTTCCTTCTCCACCTCCCTCTGAACTCCTTGAAGTTCAGCAACTTGTAGCTGAGTTCTGGCTTTATTCTCAATTTTACCGTCAGGACCCAATGTAAAGCATTTCTTTTTTTTAAATAAGATTCTGCATAAAATATTATGACATTTATGCAGTTTGTGAAATCTATTCTGAAAATATATATACATTTTAATTTAACAGAGCTTTACAAAGTTTAATTTGCTTAGCTCCTGCAGTCACTGAAGTCTGGAGTACATCTCCTCCTGACTTCCCTGCAAATCAAAATGCAAATCAAAATGACACTGTAGTCTCCCTATACCTCACATCCTTGTATCATGCCTCTGATTACATGCAGAAAGCATCCAAAGCTGTATTATGTACAGGTTAAATACCACAGGACATAAAGTGCTGAATCATAAAGCTCAGCAGCGCTGAAGATCTGTGCCATATCTCAGCGTCAAGGAGAGAGAGGCCGCCATAAAAGTGAAAAAGCATGAAAAAAACAGTAATGAGCTAAATATGTGTCTTAGCTGTGGACATGCACCCATTTTCTCTTGGCTCTCCTAGTAGAACAACCCACCTGATGTCAAGTCGCTGGCATATGGAACGTTTTACAGATGGATCAGCATCAGTGACTCTTGTAGCTGTGGATGATTATCTGTCACACAGATGTTTCAGCTTGTGTTTTCTTGCCAGCCAAGCAGCCAGCCAGACTCTTTCCTTTTTTTTTTTTTATTCTTTTCCCTGCTTGAGGCATGAGGAAGGATCACCCCCAGATGTTCGACTAAGCGACAGAAATCCGTGTGCCCAATGTGAACACACGCAGCTCGCTTCAGTGCCTTCCTGGTCAGCACCAGCCCCCGAGAAACAACTGGAAAAGATTTATGGGTTCGATGTGAGAAGTTTTCCAGACTCTACTTATTAAGAGGAGACACTTTGCATTAGTTGCACTAGGAAGTATTCCTCAGCTTAGAGCAGTGCCACCTGCACCATGAAGGAAATGTGTTTTGATTTGCCAGTTACTAGAGAAATGGAAAAGGATTTTTTTTCTTTTAACTAAGCTGTTTTGCTCCCTTTGCATCCAGAATGAAGGGTTTCTCTCCCTGAAGCCTGTAGATGGATCTTTCAGCTTGTGTTGCTGGCTTTGTGCGAGTTCCTGAACTGAGCTACAGGCTCCAGTTCATGGTTCACATAACAAATCTGCCCCACGCTGGGGCAGCTTTTTCCATCTGCTTTAGCAAGCAGATTAAAGCAAAGAACTGCAACTCCCATATTTTGCACCAAGAGACCTTTATTCAAACTATCCAGTAACCCAGCATATATCTCAAGTTTGAAAGACTTTTTAGCTGTGRAGATGGACAGAAGAGGAGAAAAAGGGGGAATGCAAGTATAATGATAAAAGATGCTTTTTCCTTTCTAGGTGTATTTGGCCATGGTGATACAAATGATTTTTTGCTGATTTCTTTATAGCAAAATTTTAACCGTCTTACTCATTGTGATTGATGTGCAATGAGTTTTCATTTTTTCTGCCTTATTACTAGTGTAATATTATTACGGAGCACTCTTTACATATATGCTATTTTCTACTGCAGGCTAACAAGTGACATTTTGCTTATGACCTGTGTTTCTTTTCTTTCCTACACGTTTGTTAGAGGGACACAGCTCTCTGGTTTTATTATGCATGCTTGATTTTTATCAGTGCAAATCTAGCAGCTCTCAGTGTTTGCCGTCTGCAAAGAGAGTAACCGTTGCCCTCCTCCTCCTTCCAGATGCTCTCCAAGTCCATCGAGCAGCTGAAGCAGCCTGGCAGTCACCTGGAGGAAGCTGAAGAAGAGCTGCACGGAGACCCCTCGATGCAGGAGGAAGGAGCTCCCGCTAGTGGTGCCAGCAGTAGGGCTGAGAGCAGCAGTGCTGGTGCGGATGACAGAATAGGACAGCAGGTGGGGGCTGTGAAAGTCAAAGAGGAGCCGCCCGACAGTGATGAGGATACTCAGACCCAGCAAATGGAATCTGGGGAGCAAGCTGCTTTTATGCAACAGGTAATAGGCAAAGATCTAGCTCCAGGATTTGTCATTAAGGTTATTATCTGAACGTCACATGCGTTTTCTAGGCTTTGGTAAGCAGTTGTGCTTTGATTCACTGAACTAGCAAATCCCAGTTTATCGTTCGAGGAATTTAACAACGGCAGAGGTGTTGTATGCACACTTATAACCATAGTGATGCTCTTCCTTAAGGCCATTAGTTGAGAGAAATACCTGTTGCAGTCAGTTATTCTACCTAGAGCTTTGCATAATAACTAGAATATGTATTAGGCCAGGATTGTCAGGGCATTTGCTTAGTTCTAGTGAAACGGCGCTTGTATCGCCCAGCTTGTTGAGATCAGCACTTGCTGGAACTAGTTTCCAGACCTGATTGGTGAAACAGTCTTGTTCTCTGATTTTGAATCCTCTGACTTTTGCTTTCATCTATCTGTATATAATGTACCATACTGTAGTCTTGAACACTGTTAACAATAGGGTATCTTCTCCCCGGTAGACAGGTACTGACTGCTATCCTGGTGGTTCTGGGCTTGTGTATAAAGTGTAAGTTAGAGAAGACCAGAGTTACAAGGTGGATGTAAAGATGCAAAGCAAGGCACTGTTTAAAATTTGCACTGCTCAGTTTATTTTTTACTCCGTCTTATTTGACGATACTGTCCACAGAGACATCCTCAATGAAGCAGATGCAAATACAGGCGAGAAGCAAAATGCAGCATTAGGTTCCAGTCAGATACTATGATTTTGCAGGAAAAGCACAGACCTATTATTACTATCCGATATCCAATCACATGTTTATTTTTTCAAATAAAGATTAAGCATGCGATCTCGCATAAGCTTTACTGCTGGGTCTCACGGACACATTCTAAAACAGTGACTTTGTGTAAAATGCCGTCTTGGCAAAAGGAAAATGCAGCCCCTTGTAGAGAACTKTAGCACTGCTGTAAAGCGAAGCACATTCGGACGGGGCGTTTTCCGAGAGCTGGGGTCCCTCCTCTTAGTCGCTGGAAAAGCGGAGCGAGCGATGCTGGATGCAGTGGAAGGGCCTGTTTATTTAAGTCGCTGCTTTGTCAGGTCCCTGCTGTTCTCCTGCAGAAAAGTGATTCTGCGAGGGGGAGCAGGAAATGCCTTATGGAAACAGGAAGCCCAAGTGATTCATGTGCTGAGGAATGTAAGGCGGGGGAACGGGCTGGTGTTCTCTCTGTTTTTAAAGGCACTCTATGAATTGATTTATTGTCAAAGAAAATAACAAAGCGAGTAGGGAAATTGTTAAGGAAGCTTTCCAGTGAAACATTTCCTTCATATTCCCTTTTGATATGTTTACTTTGTTTTATAGGTTTACTTTTGTTAAGCTAGTTAAAGATTCATTGTATTAAGGCCCCTTTTAATATGGATAATCCCAAACTGACCTGGAATCCCTGTCAGTTTTTTTTCTATTAAAAATATTTATATTTCTAAAGCTAAGGTATTTTAAGGTGCAGTATCCTGTTTCAAAAGAGATAGCTGTTTTGCCAAATGTAGAAATTGTTCTAATATATGTTATTAGCATGTGTTATTTACATTTTGCTCTAATATTATTAAATCTCTCATAAAATGTTACAGCTTCTAAAGATACATTATCCTTTTTATTAAAAAGACCTCTAAACAAATTAAATGACTAAATAGTCACTATGAAATGAAAGGCTTCCTGAAACATTAGATCATCTTTTATAGGAAAGATTTACTAATTGACAAAGTGCAGGTGTTTTTTATGTGTGCTTCATATTTTAATAATAATCTTTCAACATCTTGAATTGAAAAATCACTTCTCTTTGAAAAGAGTGAAAACATATATAGCGATGAAATTAGGTATTTTTCCCATTCTATGTAACAACTTTTTTTAGACACCTAACTTCAGCTTTGTCAAAAAGGGATAGTGCATCTTTTAAGATACATTTTATTTTGGGAGAAACTTGCAAATGGGAAGACTTTTGTACGATATCACGTCAAAGATGTATTCACAAAAGAAAAAAGRTATTTTTATAATGTCATTCAGGTGACAAACCCCAGTACATTATTGGACTTCAATTCAGACTCTTATCAATTTGGATAAATTAGAGAAACTACCTGGAACCAGTGAAAATGAAAACTGGGTTTAAACAACCACATTTCTAATTGATAATTGTCTCTTATGTTTTAAATCTACTGTATTTATTATAATTTACACCCTTAGAGGTGATCTCTTGTTTTGTGTTGTAAATATATTCTGTTTGTATGTTCCCTTTTTTTGCCTTCTGATATAAGTCTCTTCCTTTCTCAAATAAAGTTTTTTTTTTTAAAAGATCCCCTTTCAGATATTTGACTTTGTGTAAAGTTGATAACTTAGTCGTGGTTGGGCTTTTGTATAAAGAAATGCGCTTGCTGCACATTATTGAAGCAATTGAAGATTTCAGGAGCAAGGTTTTTATTACACTATTTTTACAATGATTACACAAAGTCTCTTTTTGGTCTCTTGTTTTATCTTACATCAACCATTATAAGTTTTAGTGAATGTTGAAATACTATTGATGCATGCTCATTTTTCCATCATGACATTCGTCTTGACTATGTGATCATAAATAACATTTATGTTTTGGAAAGATAAAGTTGAATCTCAAGCTCTTGATTCCTAATTACCCAAAATTTAGGTGATCTGAAATAATTTCCATTACATTTCTAAAGTCCATCTAGAACCGAAATGATATTCATCTGAATCTGAGCTTATGGTGACCTTTTTGGTATTCTTCAAGACCTTTGCAAAACTAGAGGTCACATATAAATATGTGGGGAGGGAAGGGGAATACACAAACTTTTCAATCTTCAAGAGACACTTTATGGAGGTGCCTTTTGTCTAAATACTCATGTCYGAGCTAGAAGAGCAGCATTAAATATTTCCAGTTTTCAGAATTCCTGGTTTGGTGGCTATAGACATTTTTTTTTCTGAATTTATTACTTATGCATCAGAGCACCCCCAATAAATAATCATAATCTGATAAAACTCATAAGTCACATTATTTTTCCAAGAGTCCTGTGTATTGTTTTTTGGAACAGCAAGTAACTATTCTGTCCTATTGTCCAAAAAATAAAGTTAATATAGGTGCCAGTTCAGAAGTTTATTAAGAAATTTACTTAGAGTTTACATTTACTACTGAGTAAAAAAGCTTCATCGTATTCAAAATTTTATTCAAGATAATATATATTCAGTTCATTACTGAACTGTAACTACTATAACATTAGCCCTTCTTTTGGCATTAACAACATGGGATTAAATGCTGACTGCCTCAGCAAAGCAGGAGCTTTTTGATGCTACCACCACTCATCTTTTCTATTCAAGAATTCATTCATGCACTATCTTCACTGCGTCATCATCATCATCATCAAGATTTTTAAACCTCCTTGTTACTTAATCCAGCTATACCCTGTTTTTGTCTTCACTGGCATTCTAAGGTAAAATTTATAAACATTAGTCCCAAGGACCAATTTAAAAATGTTTACTTATTTCTCCCCCTTATGAACACTTGACAATTTGCAGCCAGAATTAGTTAAGCCAAGTTAATTTCCTTATTGTATTTTGTCTCACTAGCAGCATGTCCTACTTATCCACTTAAGGGATGTTTGTTTGCTTTTCATTTATTTGTTTAGTTTCTGATTTCCTTATGCAATTCCTGTCATCTGGGTGGTAGCAGTACTTCTGTACCTCATTTCTCAGTGGAGTAATGTAGATCAGACCATTACAAGGTGGAGTACTCCTCAGGCAAATGGGTCATCATCATGGATAAAATAACCTTGTATGTTTTTATACTGCAATCCACTGATTTTTTTTTTTTTGTGGGATTTACCATTGCATGTGAAAGACTTTGTGCTTTGCATCTTTTTCCCTCTTTTTAACTCATCTTAATGTAGAATTACACCAAAAAAAAGTGGAAAAAAATATGATTAGGCCAAAAAACATAGCTAGTGACAAGGCTGGGCAGTAGAGACTTCTGGAGTCTGGAGTCTATCCACAAAATCGTATGCCCAAACAGAACTGGGAAGAGGGATCTTTTTGGCACACCCTGATTTCTAGTCCCAATTCGCTGAGCTCCAGTCAGGCTCCTGTTGCTTATTTYGGTTCTGGCCCCACAACTAACGTAGGCCGTAGTGGATAACTCCCCATTCTGCATGMAGGTACACCGAGCTCTTGGAGACCCACGGGCTTCTTCAGCGTCAGCTGAGGGTGAAAAGGGTACTGGCTTATTAACTTGAAACCATTCTTCAGTGACACCTAATGCTTTGTTATGGCTACCTGGGGACCTCAATCACTAGAGTTGTTTTGACAGACCAGATACTTACTTGTAAGTGATTCAGTCCCTTAATTAGTTGGTTAAATGAGATTGTTTGAATTGAAGGCTGTGGAGCCTCTGTAGCATTTGGTTTAATCTTCTATAGATGCCTTAAATTGACTGTATTTGCTCTAGCAGTATGCAGCCCTGAAAYATAAGGGAGGTTGTTTGGAAGATGTGGAAGATGTGTGCCACTTCAATGTGCCCTCTGCACATCTGGTCCTTCCAAGCTGATAGCAAGGTACACTTCTGGCCTTGAAGACTGCTGAGTCTTCAGATCAAATATGAGATGTAGACTATCCCCAGAATGCAAAAAAGCAATTCAAGAATCATGTGAAAATTTTTGCATCTGCATGAAGAGAAGCCCCATTTGGATATTTTCAATAGCTTGCATTCTTTACTCTTGAGGCTCATCCATCTGCATAATGCTTTTATTAAGAGAGTCAAAAATGTAGATTTATATCCTATGCTACAGGAAGATTAATCGTTTTCTTTACGTTGATTCTACCTGAGAGTACATCATAATGAAATATTTTTCCAAATAATTTTCCTTTTCTAGCTGAATTTGAAAACAATCCAGATTTTCTGATCATAATCAAATTCACTTTGCTATGAATATCAAGAAGATTGTTATTTTGGCTTGCCTCTCCTCTTGGCTTTTGCAGCTGACAGTTTACAAAAAGGCTTATTTTGTTACATAATGAAACTCAGAACTGATTTATTTGAGCAACAAGATAGCATTGATATGGTGTGACAAATKATTTATCTTCGTCAATACCTGCATCGAATAATGTTCATAAAGCTTTTATTTTTAAATCCAAAATCTTGTTACAATTTTCTTCCTTCAGATACTTGAGAGACAGCTCCCTGATTCCCGTTACTAGTCCTTTCTGTCAGAGAAAGCAGCGTGTAAGGAGGCCTCTAGGACAGCACTAGATAAAAATACTTAGGGATACATAACTAGCATGACTTGAAAGTTTCTAAGTCCAGATCCCAGTAATTATCACTTCACATTTTGACAGTCAGATGATACTACTTTCATACCATTAGGTAATTCATCATTTCCTGTATCATACAGTATGATTTTTTCATTATTGTTACTGAAGAGGATTATGTGTTCTTGGAAAGCTGCTTTGTTAGATGCTCTGTTTCTGGAAGAGTTCTCTGTTGACCTCTGAATGTTCCTCTCTCCCCTTCTGTCACACACACACACACACACACACACACACACACACACACACACACACACATTTTCATTTTCTTCCTTCCGTAAAAATGTGAGCATTAATAAATGTGTTCCTCAGTATACTATTGGCTAAATCTTAATAAAGTTCTGTTGTTTAATGTTGTGGAAGAGAAGCCCAGCCTGAATACCTTGGAGACATAGGTGCTGCAATGCAGAAAGCAGTACGTGATCTGTCTGCTCTCGTGTTCTGGCCTGTGACCTTTGGCTGCCCAGCAGACAAGGACGTCTTGCTGTTCCTTCTGCCTGTATTTCCTCAGCAAAGGATCTTGTGGAAAGTGCAGCGATGAGATTGCAGCAAGGCAGCAATCGTGAGGGCTAAACGGCCTTTGTTCAGGTTTAATGTGAAAAAGCTCGTAAAGCAGGAAGGGTTCAGTTAGTCACATTAGGCTTTCTTCTGATTTAGCACCCATTAAGAAGAGCACCACAGTATTTTTAGCTGGCAGTTTAAAGACTGTAAAATCAGATCTCTTTTTCAGTGCCTTTACCAGATCCAAGATGGCCAATGGGCAGAAGGAAAGAATGCCGCTGGGAAATGCACTCCCTCTATGCCCAGAGGGGTGGATAACCAGTGGGAAGACTAGTCCTTCTTCTTTCTACATTGTCTTTTACAGAAAGCACAAGTTCACGAACTATGACAAAGTCAGCTACCTAACGGCACACTGACACCCGTGGTGACTGAGATCCCCTCAGTTCTCTCCATTTTTGATTCATTTTTGAAACATTGTCTTAGGACATCAGAGGATCCCGTGTCCAACAGTGGGTATCCTTGATATCTCGAGGATATCTCAATGCATCTTTTCAGAATGTCTATGTTCTCATTTTATAGGTCTTTCATCATAGCTTCTGTTTAGTTTCTCCCACTTTGTAATAAGAAACTAGACCAGTTTCTGTGTAGCTTTAGTTTTCTAAAGCTACAGACTTTGTATGGAGATCCTCAAAGCCATCTCTGTGTTTCTGACTGAAAAATAAAAGTGGCAGCACTAACCCAGGTGTCATTGCCACATGTTCAGCCCAGGGATACTTCATTTGAATAGCTCAGATCCAACCATTTCTGGAGAAGCGCAGGCATCGCGAGGGTGGGTGATTTCAATTAAAGTGCATTCAGCATTGCCTTGCACTGGCAACACTAGCACTTGCACTGGCAACACTAGCAAGAGAAAAGTGAAAAGAACAAAACTTCCTTTCTTCAGCAAGAGACTGAGAATGAGCATAGAGATATATTTATCTGTGATGAATAACAAACTGATGAAGCAGATTGCTCAGAGTACTAACTCTCCCTTTTACGTAGCCCTTTCTGAGAGCTTCGATTGAATCAATCGAGTACCGTCAAATAGCTTGGACC